TCTCAGGACCTGTAGGTGCTTTGATTAAGCTCCCAGGCTCCCACAGCAGGATACATATGGTCTCTGAGACTGTGCCATCCTCCTTATACTTCTGCGTGCTCTTTTGTTTTGAAGGGCAGAGAGTTGATTTCACTCATTTCGGTTCTCACCACTGTGGTAAAGCTACTACATCTGCAGTCGGCAGGGTCAGTGTTCCCCTCCAGCAAGAGCAAACAGACTGGGAGCCCAGCCTTTGCAGGTGCCCTGCTGTGCCTCATCTGCTTCCTGTTTGCACCCTCTTCGAGTTGGCAGAGAGCACCTTCCCAAGGATTGGTCCCTACTCCTGGCATTACAGCTAAAGCGGGGTGCTGCAAAGCGTGAGTCAAAGTCAGGGGTCTTGAGCAGTCCCCAGGGAGCAAATGCCTTATCCTATCCCCTGCAGGTGATGGAAGATGACAGCATCTGGCAGGTAGACCACATTTCACACATGTTTAAGCAAGTTGACTTGGATCAAAAGGCTGTCAGACAACATTATGCCCATCCTCTGCTTGTGAAATAGCAGAAGAGCTAAAGCTAGTTTTTATGAGCTACAGTAAGAGAGAAAGATGGAGTATGTATTTCCCCTTCACAGCAGGCCCTGTAGATAAGGACATTTCAGCAACTCGGTAAACACAAGGCAGCACTACAAGAAAACTTGAGGCAGGAACTGCCCTAAGTTCAGTGTTGAAAATGGACAGTAACATAACTTGTACCAAGAGGAGCTTAAAAACATCCTGACAGGCATAAGCTAGGGATTCTGGGTAATTTCCCATAAGGCAGTGTAAACTGTAGGTAGAAGCTGGCCTGGGAGAGGGGGAGAATAGGAAGGTGCACAGTAGGAAGAGGTGGTGGATAGACACATTCAGTCATTTAACATAGATTTTTTAAAAGGCAATTACCTGGTCCTAAGGGGATCAGTCTTAATTCTTGTGGTATTTGAGACTCTTCCCCATACTTGGGGAGCCTGTCTCCAAAGGCAGTTGATCTCTTTCTGCCATAACCAGTTCAATCACCAGGGGAATATCTTGGAATTAGTTGTAACTAACTCTGTTCAACTGAGAGTACAAATTCCCACTGCCTCCTTCATTTCATCAGAACCTCATTTAACAAGTATTTATTTGGCCACACTCTGTGCTGGGTCTAGTATTGAATGTTGAGAATATAACAGCAAACAAAACCAAGAAAGTGCAGCCCTCAGAACTTTCCATCTCGTGATTGATGCTGAGACAAAGACAGGCAGATATAAGGCAGAGTGATGAGCTCTTTTCCAGCGAAGCAGAGTACACAGCACTCTGGACCGTGTAGCCGGGACCGCTGCACAGAGTGGCAAGGAGAGACTTCTAGAGAATATGTGACTCAGGAATTGAGATCTGAACGTTGCTTAGGAATGTGCCCCATGAAATGGAGGAGGAAGTAGAGGCTAAACTGGCAGAGGAAAGGCTCCAAGGTGAGAGACTATAGCCCATATGAGTAGCTGAGACAAGTTCTGTTTTACTAAGGGACACTAGATCTTAGGGTGTGAATGATAATGCTGGGAAGTAAGCAGGAATGGGTCATGCAGGGTCTTGTCCACCCTATTAAGAAGTTGACAAGAGACAGTGGGAACCCACTGAAAGTTTTCAAACACAGCAGCAACATTATCAATGTGCATTGTGGAAAGATTCTGACTGCAGAGTGACTAGACTGGAGGAGAACAACAATGCAGATACAGAGTTCAATTTGGAGATTGTTTCTATAGTCCTCATGGGAGATGAAAGTTACATGACTCTAGGGTATTAGTGAAGGGAATAAAGAGAAGATGGTGGATTCCAGTAACATTCTGGACGGAGAGAATTGGCAGGGCTCAAGGACTCAATGAAAAGGGGTTGACACTGGGAATGACTGCTGGGTTTGATAACTGAGTGCACTGTGGTACCACTCACTGAGACAGAGAACACAGAAGGTAAAGAAAGATAGTTTGGGAGTGGGGATGGGGATAGAAGCAGTATTATAGGTTAAATTTAGGAAATAATGAGTTTGAGCAGCTTAGTGGACATGCATTTGGCTTTTGGGGTCCAACACTTAGATGTGGGCTGGAGCTCTGGTCATGAGTCATTAACACAGACATGGTGGTTAAACTACAGAGGCATATGGGATTGCTCAAGGAAAGTGCTTCAAGTCAGACAACAAGCAGGCCAGGACAGAACCCTGAAAAACAACCACATTAGAAGGCAGAACGGAGTGAGATGAGCCTGCAAAGGAGAATGAAAAAAGAAGCAACCAGAGAGGTAGGAGGGAAACCAAGAGAAGAAAATGCCTCAACAAGGATCAGTAATGGCCAGCACTACTGAGGGATCAAGTAAGTTAAAGACTGAGAAGTAACCAGAGAATCTGAGCAACCAGGATGTTAAAGGAGACCACGGAGAGAGTGTAAGTAGAGTGATGGAAGCAGAGCCCAATTAGAGTGGCTTGAAGAGTGAATAGAAAGGAAGAAGTTGGGGCCATGAGCGAGTAAACTCTTCTGATAAGTGTGTGAAGTGTAAGTTGGCATAGACTAGTAGAAATGGAAAGTAGACATGCAGTGGGGACGATTTAATAGTTGTTTTCAAAGATGAAAGAAACTTGAACACCTTTCAGTGCTGATGGAAGAAACCATTTACATTAGAGGCAGAGGTCAGTCCCCACAGAACCTCATCTCTAAGAAAGAAAAGGTCTCTTCTGAATCTTCTTGTGGCAAAAAAAAAAAATTAAAAAGTTAAAAAAAATTGTTTTAAAAGAAAGAAGGGGAGAGGTTAAAAGTGCACATTGTGAGAGTCTTAAACCAGAGGATGACTTTAATGGGAAAGACAGATAGTTGTCAGTACAGGTAAGCTCCTGCTTTGGTAGCAGAGGCTGACAAATGTGATGGCTTCTTTTTTCTCTTCACAGGTGGAGAAGAGATTGTTTGCTGAGAGGGCAGGAAAGCAGCAGAGTTAGATGAAGGCAGATATCACTATGTAGAGACAAAAAGATCACCAGTTAATGCTAGGGACCCTGAATTTTACATGTCACCAATTTAGTTTTCTTTCTTTTATTTTTTTCCTAGAATTCAGCAGCCAGATGTGCAAAAAAAAAAAAAAAAAAAAAGCAGATAGTTAGCTCTCTGGAACCCCAAATCCAGTTGAACTGGAATATATGATATTTCCCATTCTTACAGTTTCATCTTAATTTTACTTCCTTCAAAAGAAATAAAACTTCCATAGAGGCAGTACTAATAAAAAAAAAAAAAAAAAAAGAAATAAAACATTTTTTTCTGGTGCTTCCAGAAATAGTACCATAATGTTCAACATCTGGTGTGCTTTTGAAAAGCTCTTCTGTATTCAAGGATCGTTATCCTCACCCCTGTGACCACCCCTTAAACCTGTGGTCCCCAACCCCTCTCCCACCACCCAGGGCGCTGACTAGGTACCAGTCCATGGTGAATGAGCTGAACTGAGCGAGCAAAGCAAAGCTTCATCCGCATTTACAGCCACTCCCCATCACCACCTGAGCTCCACCTCTTGTCAGATCAGCGGAGGCATTAGATTCTCATAGGAGCATGAACCCTACTGTAAACTGCGTATGCAAGGGATCTAGGTTGCATGCTCCTTATGAGAATCCAATGCCTGATGATCTGAGGTGGAGCTGAGACAGTGATGCTAGTGCTGGGGAGTAGCTGCAAATACAGATTATCATTAACAGAGAGGTTTGACTGCACAATAAATGTAATACACTTAAATCATCCCCCTCCCCAGTCCATTGAAAAATTGTCTTCCATGAAACTGGTCCCTGATGCCAAAAAGGTTGGGGACCACTGACTTAAATCCTCTTTAAACCCTCTCATCCCCCCTCTTTTTTTTTTCCCTTTCTGTGGCACTTATCCCTGCCTGTCATTATTGATGTATCTGTCAACCTCCCACCTCTTCCAGGGAAGGAAGCTAATGTTTAGAACACCTACTATGTATCAGACACTTTCAGTTGTTTTCACTTCAGCAGTGTCACTTACATCCCCACAGCATGGAGGAGGGGAGACATTACCCCTGCTCTTATAGATGAGGAAGTTAAAGCTAGGACCTAAACTCACATAAATGACCAAACGGGGATTAGATCCCAGTCTGTCTGACTCCAAAGCCCATTACTCTATGCTGTAAGCTCCCAAAGAGCAAGCAATCTTCTGATTCATCATTATATACCTCATGGGAACTCAAATAGCACTTTGCACATAGAAGATGCTTGATAAATATTATTGATTTGAACTATGACCTGCCTGCCTGAATATCTTTAGAGTTCTGGCATTTTAGTGTGTGCCCAACTTCCTCTGAATAAGCCATACCATTCTGCTTGGTTAAAAAAAAAAAAAAATTGCTCCTCTTCAACACTGGCATCAAATGTGCTAAGTTTACAATGTAGACAGGAATATGGCAAAATGAAAACATTTATTTTAAAATGCTTCCTCTGGATGGCTTTTTTAATTTTTTTAATTTTTTTTTTTTTTTTTTTTTTTTGAGACAGAGTCTCGCTTTGTTGCCCAGGCTAGAGTGAGTGCCGTGGCGTCAGGCTAGCTCACAGCAACCTCAAACTCCTGGGCTCGAGTGATCCTTCTGCCTCAGCCTCCCGGGTAGCTGGGACTACAGGCATGCGCCACCATGCCCGGCTAATTTTTTATATATATATCAGTTGGCCAATTAATTTCTTTCTATTTGTAGTAGAGACGGGGTCTCGCTCTTGCTCAGGCTGGTTTTGAACTCCTGACCTTGAGCAATCCGCCCGCCTCGGCCTCCCAAGAGCTAGGATTACAGGCGTGAGCCACAGCGCCCGGCCTTGGATGGCTTTTTTAAATTTACTAATCCCATCAGGGATGTTAATAGTTCATTCTGATGGCGCCAACAAAGAAAGCACCCAACAGACTCTCTCATGAGCTCACTGCAACATGAGCAGAAGCATGACCAAATTTCAACTTGAACTGTCTTCTTTTTATTTTTCAGGAGTATAACATGTATGGCTGGTGGGTAGGAGAACTGAACAACCTCATTGGGATTGTTCCAAAGGAGTATCTCACAAGCGCCTTTGAAGTGGAAGAAAAATGAAGCCCAGGTATCAGAACCATTGTCAATGAACTGCCCATTAGTTGGGCAGAATTTGTAGGCAATGACTTCATTTTCTTTTTGAAAGATGAGAGTTGCCAGTGAAGTAACTTTTCTTCACTTCCCAAAGTAATGCTAATGAGTCACCATTGAAAGAAAATAAGTCTGGAATTGTTTTTTTCCTAAATTTGGGGACTGTGTCATTTAGGATTGGGTTCAATTAATAGTGACAGAAAATCCAACATAACAATGACTTAACTTTAACACAGAAATGTATTTTTCTCTTCCATAAAAATCTGGAGGAAAGTGGCCCAAGGTATCCAGGTCCCAAGTATCTTCTGTTTTTGCTCCTCTGTGTGCGGCCAACATTCCCAAGGTAACCTCATGGCCAAGATAGATGCTGCAGCTCCAGCTGTCCTGTCTGCATCCTACTCAGCAGGAAAGCCAAAAATGAAAGGACAAGGGCATACCCTCACCATTTAAGGACACTTCACAGATGTTGCGCACACACTTCTGCTTACATCCCATTGGCCAGATACAAGCTGCAAAGAAAGCTGATAGCCCTGTGTCCACCTTAAAGATGAAAGGTTCATTATTAAATAAAAATAGGAGAATGGATATTGGGAGATAAATAGGAATGTTTGCCACAAGGATAGATCTGGGTTTATCCATAGCTCTCAAATCCAGGACACCATTTCCCCCAAATGCCCACATGTTACAATATGACTGACAAAGATTAGGAATCCAGTATGAGGATTCCTGTGGAACATAATCAAATTAACTTTGAAGTAATAAAGAATATGGTTTGGTGGTGCCAAACACCTATATTCCCAGCTACCTGGGAGGCTGAGGCAGGAGGATCACTTGAGCCCAGGAATTAGAGATTGCAGTGAGCCGTGATGATGATGCCACTGCACTCTAGTCCAGGCAACACCCTGTCTCAAAAAAAAAAAATTAAAAAAAAATATGATTTGGCAAGGCACAGTGGCTCATGCCTGTAACCCAAGCACTTTGGGAAGCCAAGGCTGGAAGATCACTTGACACCAGGAGTTTAAGACCAGTCTAGGCCGGGCACGGTGGCTCACCCCTGTAATCCTAACACTCTGGGAGGCCGAGGCGGGCGGATTGCTCGAGGTCAGGAGTCGAAACCAGCCTGAGCAAGAGCGAGACCCCATCTCTACTATAAATAGAAAGAAATTAATTGGCCAACTAATATATATAGAAAAAAAAAAATTAGCTGGGCATGGTGGTGCATGCTTGTAGTCCCAGCTACTCGGGAGGCTGAGGCAGCAGGCTTGCTTGAGCCCAGGAGTTTGAGGTTGCTGTGAGCTAGGCTGACGCCATGGCACTCACTCTAGCCTGGGCAACAAAGTGAGACTCCGTCTCAAAAAAATAAAGACCGGTCTAGACAACATAGCAAGACCCTGTCTCTACAAAAAAATAAATTTAAAAAAATAGCCAGGCATGGTGGCATGCACCTGTAGTCTCAGCTACTTGGCAGGCTGAGGCAGGAGGATCACTTTAGCCTAGGAGTTTTAGGTTCCAGTGAGCTATGATTACATTCCAGCCTGGGCAACAAAGTAAGACCCTGTCTCTTTTTTTTTTTTAATGTTTTTTTTTCTTTTTCTTTCTTTCTTCTTTCTTTTTTTTCTTTTCTTTCTTTTCTTTCTTGTCTCACTCTGTTTCCCAGGCTAGAGTGAGTGCCGTGGCGTCAGCCTAGCTCACCAGCAACCTCAAACTCCTAGGCTCAAGCAATCCTGCTGCCTCAGCCTCCCAAGTAGCTGGGACTACAGGCATGCGCCACCATGCCTGGCTAATTTTTTCTATATATATTAGTTAGCCAATTAATTTCTTTCTACTTTTTAGTAGAGACGGGGGGTCTCGCTCAGGCTGGTTTCGAACTCCTGACTTTGAGCAATCCGCCTGCCTCGGCTTCCCAGAGAGCTAGGATTACAGGCGTGAGCCACCGCACCCAACCCCCTTGTCATTTTTCTGCTCCTATCATTTTATTACCTCTTGTTTTTCTGTCCCTAACACTCCTGCCTCAACCTCCTGAATATCTGGGACTACAGGCATGTGCCACCATGCCGGGCTAATTAAAAAAAAAAACACAAAAAAAACTTGTAGAGACGTGGTCTCGTTATTGCCCCGGCTGGTCTGGAACTCCTGGCCTCAAGCGAGACTCTTGCCTCCGCCTCCCAAAGTTGTTGTCGACCCTGTCTCTTAAATATATATATATATATATATTTATTTATTTATTTATTTATTATATATATTGTATTTTATGAACAAGAACCACTTTGTGTTTTCAAACAGTGGGAGGAGGCCGAGACGGGTGGATTGCTTGAGGTCAGGAGTTCGAAACCAGCCTGAGCGAGACCCCGTCTCTACTAAAAAGTAGAAAGAAATTAATTGACCAACTAAAACTATATATACAAAAAATTAGCCAGGCATGGTGGTGCATGCCTGTAGTCCCAGCTACTCAGGAGTCTGAGGCAGAAGGATTGCTTGAGCCTAGGAGTTTGAGGTTGCTGTGAGCTAGGCTGATGCCATGGCACTCACACTCTAAGCTGGGCAACAAAGTGAGACTCTGTCTCAAAAAAAATTAAATTAAATTAAATTAATAAATAAATAAAACAGTGGGAGTGAGTGCTTAATTTGGGTGAGATATCAGTGGGAGCCACTTGGGTGCAGAGTGGATTTTGTTTAGAATTGGGATGGTGGTGGAGGGCCCCCAATACCAGCTCCATCTTCTGGCCTGAAATGGGAGCAGCCTTTATTGCTGGGGGTGAAGGATTGCATCAGTGTGACAGTGATACAAACTGTCCTCGGAGTCTTCCAGGTGAGGACTCACTCTGTTGTGCAGCAGCAGCTGAGTGAATTTATTTAGAAAAATACATAACAACAGAGCTTACTCTTCGATGCCCTTGTACAACCATAAAGCTCCAGCTCAGGCCAGTCACTCAAGGTTTGACTTTATGATTTTGCCAATGAGGACTCTGTTTCCTGACCATAAATGCAGAAGGACTGGAATTTTTCTGTGAAATCTAAACAAATTCACCCTATTTCACTTTGTCATTTATTTAAAGTTGTTTATCTCCTCATTCTCTTTGATCTAACAATTCCACTTCTAGGAACTTATCCTGCAGCTACATTTGCACACGTGTAAAATGATATGCACACAAGGTTCATTTGTCATAGCAAATGACTGGAAATAACCTAAATGTTCAATGAAGAACTAGTCAAATAAATATAGTACATTCATTGAATTTAACACTATGCAACAGTAAAAAAGAATGGAAAGCTGTTACAGAATACATTCTGAAATACATTGGTAAGTGAAAAAAAAAAAAAAGCAGCAAAGAAGGGTAGGCCAAGTTTGCCCCATTTGTATAAAAAGGGAGTAGAGGCCGAGCGTGGTGGCTCACGCCTGTAATCCTAGCACTCTGGGAGGCCAAAGCGGGAGGATTGCTTGAGGTCAGGAGTTCGAAACCAGCCTGAGCTGAGACCCCGTCTCTAACATAAATAGAAAGAAATTAATTGGCCAACTAATATATATAGAAAAAATTAGCCGGGCATGGTGGCGCATGCCTGTAGTCCCAGCTACTCAGGAGGCTGAGGCAGCAGGATTGCTTGAGCCCAGGAGTTTGAGGTTGCTGTGAGCTAGGCTGATACCACGGCACTCACTCTAGCCTGGGCAACAAAGCGAGATTCTGTCTCAAAAAAAAATAAAAATAAAACAAAAAATAAAAAGGGAGTCGAGGCTACAGATACCCATTTGCTTATATAGGTATGAGGTATTTCTGGAAAAAGACACCAAACAATAACATGGTTGCCTCCAAAGACAGAGAAACTGCATGACTGTGAGACAGGGTAGGAGGGAAGACTTTTCACGCTGTGCCCTTTTATACTTCTATATTTGAATCATAAAAGCAAATGTATGTCCAGGCGCAGTAGCTCAAGCCTGTAATCCTAGCATTTTGGGAAACCGAGGCAAGAAGATTGCTTGAGCCCAGGAGTTCCAGACCAGCCTGGGCAATAGCAAGACCCTATCTCTACAAAAAACAGAAAAAAAAAAAATTAGCCGTGCATGGTGGTGCATGCCTGTAGTCCCAGTTACTCGGGAGGCTGAGGCAGCAGGATTGCTTGAGGTTGCTGTGAGCTAGGCTGATGCCACGGCACTCACTCAAGCCTGGGCAACAAAGCGAGACTCTGTCTCAAAAAAATAAATAAATAAAAATAAATAAAACAAAATAAAATAAAAGCTAATTTATTTTTTCTACTTTAGGAAACATATTCTTCTCTCTACCTTGCCTTTATGAAGAAACTGATTATCAAGAGCTCCCACTCCCGACTCTTGCCACCCCACCAACCACCGTGATGGACTCTCCTTTACTGAAGAGACTGAAGTAGTGACTGTGAACCACCAATAAGATAGGTGGGAAGAGGCACATTCATCAAACCCGTTACTAAACCTGCCTAGTCATGGCTCACCCCCAGCTCCAAACACGTCCATATATCCACATCTGCCTTTTCCACAGGCTCGTCACAAAGAGGATGAGAGAGAAACCCTGGGAGGAAGTTGCTTGTTGTTCTAGCTGGTTTGAAAAGCACAAATAAATTCAGATTTGGTGCCTTGCCATGTGTGATGGTGTTGAATTCCTTTTTGTAATGATATCAAAACGCCAGCTCTGGGCATTCTCACCACCTCCAAGCAAAGTGGGAAGGCACAACCTGAGGAAAAAAATAAAAACCCAGACAAAGAAGAATTGCAATTGTCTTTCAGGGCAGAGTCATCTCTGGAACCCAAGTCTGCTGGTTTCTGGTCAGCTTATCAGTCTTCCTTTCGTTGGCTAGTTGGTTATTTTTTCTTATGTGTTGAAGCTTTCTGAAAAGAGACAGAGCCTTGGAGTCAGCACATCGGAAAGTACCTGTTCAGGCATCGAGTCAGTTAACAATCCCTCTGTGTCCTGCACTACAAGTCCCAGATAGTTGCTGAGGAAGTGCCTTGAGGAGGGCTTGAGTATGGATTCAGGGCTTCCTGTTTCCCTCTCCTGTTGCCTATACCCAGCACTCAAGCTACCTGTGTAAAAAGATAGGCAACTGAGCATCTCTAGAAATACCTGTTCAGGGCAGTCCTGGATTGGCAGTAGCCCTCCTCTCCTTTGCAATGATTGTAGCCCTCTGTAGCCCTAGAGTCAGACACTCATCTCACATCACCAAAAGAGAGAAGCCAAGGTGCAAACAAGGATATCAGTGGATTCCAAGTTTCTAAAAAAAAAAAAAAAACTTATGCCAACTATTCATTTCCAGATTTTATGACTTAGGGGCTAAAAAATAAAACCCTTTTGTGTATGAAAAAATAAAGACATGGATGAAAAAAAGGGACAATTTAGGTTTAGTAGGGAAAAAACACAAGCGAAATAAAAAGCAACATAGAAGTGTCCATAACGTCCCTTCCACTTTACACAGGGTGCTAAAGAAGAAGGAACCACTAGGTGGCAGCATATGAGCAGGTGAACCAAAGAGAACCAATTGCCTCCCGTTTTAGGAACCTTCTCACCAATCCTAGCCCACAGGTAAGAACAAAGGGCATTGTTCTAGAGTGTTTAACAAAGGGACCCAAGTCTAGAAGGCTGGGTGGCTAAGAGGCAGGAATACTATTGTGCCACTGCTCTGTAACTGAGAGACACCAGAAAAGGGGATACCAGAAGAAGAAGAGCAGGTATCTGGGACAGGATGAGAAGGGGTTGAAAAAGCAACCAAAGTCAAGGTTAACTTTTTCACACCCTATACACAGTTCAGTGCTCTCTAAATAGCATAGCCATTGGCTTCCAGCATTTAAAACAAAACTGTCCTTTCTCTACCTGTAGGCCAAAGGAAACAACTATTTCCCAAACTGCAGAGGTCTTTTGGCACCTCTGTGTACGGTAGGGTAGACCCCACAATTGACCCTTCTAGCTATAAAACTTCATGGGAAAAGATATTAGATTGGCCCTAAAAGATATAAACAAATAAGACTGATTGGAAATCTGGTCTGTAGCTTTTCTGGCTATCGCTGGCATTGTTATATGCAAGAAAAGATAGAGCTCATTTGATGGGCTGATGAGACTGTCTACAGGAGAAGGGCATTCTCTGTTAGGAGACAGTTCTGAAGGAGACCTTTTGGAAGCAGCAGATTCCTACAGTCTGTTGGTAATTAAACCTCATCCAGCAAAATTGCTCCCCACTCAACTCAACAGCCTCCATCTTCACCAACAGCCTCAGACAGCAAGTGACTAATCAGATTACCCTTCTTGGTTTGACTCCACTAACCAAATCCCCAACTCACTGCCACTAACTGGATAACTGGAACATGAGACCACTTAACTAACTACATTATGTGTAGCATGGTCACCACCAATTGTTCTGGCAAGTGAAACAGGAGAGGAGTAGAGATGGAAGATTTTTTCCTTCCTTGATTTTATGTAAAGAAGGGAAAATTAAAAAGCTAAGATCCTAGGCCAGATGCGGTGGCTCACGCCTGTAATCCTAGCACTCTGGGAGGTCAAGAGTTCAAAACCAGCCTGAGCAAGAGTGAGACCCCCCCCCCCTCCCCCTCCCCCCCCCCGTCTCTATTTTAAATAGAAAGAAATTCATTGCCCTACTAATATACACAGAAAAAATTAGCTGGGCATGGTGGCACATGCGTGTAGTCCCAGCAAATTGGGAGGCTGAGGCAAGAGGATGGCTTGAGCTCAGGAGTTTGAGGTTGCTGTGAGCTAGGCTGATGCCACCGCACTCACTCTAGCCTGGGCAACAAAGCCAGACTCCGTCTCAAAAAAAAAAAAAAAAAGCTAAGATCCTAAATTCAGAAGCAAATGCATGTCTGCCTTTTATAGATAATCATTTACAAGGAATTTACTGACATCCAGTGGATAATCTAACCTAGGGTTGGTACAGTTTGGCCTGCATTGTCCAAGCTGATATCTTAGAACATTAAATGCTCAGAAAACAGCCAGGCGCGGTGGGTCACACCTGTAATCCTAGTACTCTGGGAGACTGAGGTGCGTGGATTGCTCAAGGTCAGGAGTTCAAAACCAGCCTGAGTGAGACCCCGCCTCTACTAAAAATAGAAAGAAACTAACTGACCAACTAAAAATGTATATACGAAAAATTAGCTGGGCATGGTGGCGCATGCCTATAGTCCCAGCTACGTGGGAGGCTGAGGCAGTAGGATCGCTTAAGCCCAAGAGATTGAGGTTGCTGTGAGCTAGGCTGATGCCACGGCACTCACTCTAGCACTGAGCAACAAAGTGAGACTCTCTCAAAAAATAAATAAATAAATAAATGCTCAGAAAACAATCTTTCAGGCTGGGCATGGTGGCTCACGCCTGTAATCCTAGCACTCTGGGAGCTGGGAGTCCGAGGCAGGTGGATTGCTGCAGGTCAGGAGTTCGAAACCAGTCTGAGCAAGAGTGAGACCCCGTCTCTACTATAAATAGAAAGAAATTCATTGGCCAACTAATATATATAGAAAAACTTAGCCGGGCATGGTGGCGCATGCGTGTAGACCCAGCAACTCAGGAGGCTGAGGCAGGAGGATTGCTTGAGCCCAGGAGATTGAGGTTGCTGTGAGCTAGGCTGACGCCACAGCACTCACTCTAGCCTGGGCAACAAAGTGAGACTCTGTCTCAAAAAAAAAATTAAAAAAATAAAAAATAAAAATAAATTTTCCTGTACAATGGCCTGTTAATATTATACCTCTTAGAAATCTATATTTAATTCAAAAATAGGGTAGGAAGTGAATAAAATGGGAAAGAGGAGAGAATTCCTCTTAAGTCTCATTCCCTAAACCCAGGTTGATTTCGTTTTCAATGTGAGCAGCACCAAAGGTGGGGCCAACAAGATACTCCCCTACTGTTTGTTTGAGACAGATACTTTATCTAAATATAATACATAAGGAGTAGACTCAATCTCAAGTTACCATTAACTTATTTTTTTGTTGTTGTTTTTAGCAATTTAGCTTCCCTAGTTGCACCTCCTTATTTATAACCAGTTAGTCTTTTTTTAAGTGATGAAACCAAGGATCTGAAAGGTTGTGACTAGTTGGCCAAAATCACACAAAATCTGCCACAGCAAAAGAAATTAAGTGAAAGCCCCTTAAAATTCTCAGTCAGCTGCTTTGCTTACTGACTTACTGGAGTTCTATTGTAGTTAGACATCTCCAGTGAGACATCTTCGAAATCCACATTTCACACCAGTGCCAGTCCTTGGCATCACAGTAAGGCGGGTGTCAATGCAAAGTGAAAGATAATGCATGGTGGGGGCAGGGGAGACCCTTGCCTTTAAAAATCAGGCTGAGAAAGATGGAGTTGAAGAGAAACAAGAAGGAAAAAAAAAAAAAGAAACAAAAGTATATTCTTTTTTTTTGCATCTTAAGAACAAAACTCTGAGATGTCAGGGGCAGTGATGCTTTCATCTCTGGCTCGAAAAATAAAAAACCTCCCCACAGGTCTCCCACTAGGAGCAGCTCTGGAAGGATAAATCTTGAGTGGCACTGATTTGTTAATTCCCAGAGCTCCAGCAAAATCCGCAGGGCTGACTTTAGAAAAAGCACACAGAGGATTATCCCTGCTATACAGCCCAGTGACTCAAACTCATTTTCTAGTTTGTGGATTACCATAGCCCCTTGCTTCTCCCCCTTCCCTCCTGCCCAGCTATTCCATTTCCCATTAGAATTTATCAAGATTGGGTAGAGAGTTTGAAATTTACAACTAAAAAGAGCTTTTTCTTTTTCAAAAGATTTGAATTATTCTCCCTATTTCCCTATCAAAAACTGTTCAGAAAACATGCTGTTTCTCTCCTCAGTGTGAATTGATGGCCAGTCTTTGAGATTCAATTAATGATACATTTTAAGATACATTTAATGATACACTTTATGTAGTCCATTCTGCATGAAAATGTTTTATAAATATAATGGCAAAAAATACTCCTTTATTAAAGGAAACTGAGGTACAATAGGGTGACCACATAATTTATTCTCCAAACTGAGACACTTTGAGAGTGAAGGGGGGAGTTATTAATAATGATGCTGGGACTGCAGGTATAAGCTGAGAAGTGTGGTCATGCTAAAAACAAGGCAAGATAGTTGCCCAGTCTCCTGGGGAGTGGGTGGTAGATAGAGATGACCTGGCTTTCCTGGTATGAGGCTTGGCAACATCCCCTCTAATGAAGTCCTCTCCCCTGCAGACCTGGTTTCTAGGCAAACCCTGCCAACTAGGCTTCCTTTTCCTGATGCCCAGGCTGTTCTGGTGTCTCTGGCATCGAGCCGCCTATGGGGCTGGCTGGCTGTCAGCAGCTGCGTGTGTTCAGTTCCCTCATGGGGTCCCATCACAGTCCGCCACCCCTCCACCTGGCAGAGTGCCACTGAAAGAAGCATTTTTGTATGGGCAATAGTATGCCACTTCCTTGCCTCCTGTGACAGGAGTGAGTTCCAAGAGGCTGCTAGTGCTGGTCCTCAAAGAGGGCATCTGGTTCCACTGCAGAGGCTCTCAACCTGATGGCGAGCAGCTGGACACCTTCTATCCTGCACATCCGATCGTGGAACAGAAAACAGGCTGCGGACATTTCCCTTTTCCACACCGTCAGACTCACCAGCATTGCTCTGCCGTGAGTCACCAGAGTGGCACACCACCACCACTGTGGGCCTGTCACTAACATATTCCACCTCTGGGAAAACGCCTGGTGTCTGGAAATTTCCGATTATTTCTTCGACATCTCCTAGTTTTGGGGGACAGAACTTGGAGCTGATTACTTCATTCTGTTAATGCAGGGTTTCTCAATCTCAGCATTATTGACATTTTGGCCCTGATAAGTGTATGTTGTTGGGGACATTTAGGATGCTTAGCAGCATCCTTGGCCTCTTCCCATTAAATGCCAATAGTACTCCCCCCACATCCTCAAGTTTTTGACAACCAAAAATGTTTCTAGGTATTGCCAAATAGCCCCTGGGGACAAAATTTTCCCGGGCTGACAATCACTGTCTCAGAGCATTTGAGGTATGCTTAGGGGAAAGCACAGAGAAACGGCCCTGCCTTCTAGAAGTTTGTGCTTTAGCCACCGGATTATAGTGATAGAGCTCACAGCTGAGTTGATAAGATACGGCATTTCAATGCCATGACTCTTTCAGGGTTTAAAAACCGGCAGGCCAGCCCCTGCACTCCACCTCTGAGATCTGTTCACCTGTGCTGCTGCAGATTTGCACTAGGAAAATGTTGTGTTTGAATGGAAAGGACCGACCATCCGTGCCAGTTCAGAGAGCTGCATTACAGCAAGTCTCTCATGTTTCAAGCTCTGTGATCACCATCCCTTGTTTCCCTTTGCTGTGGCAGAAATCTAAAAGGGGAGTGCTGAAACCAAGTGAAATCCTGTGTACTACTTCAGAGCAAGAAATACAGGGACCTAGAAACACAACACAGACAGCATCTGCAGCTGAAAGGGAGCTGCTCTGGTTCCCTCTGCATTGCGCTGGGTGGGGCTGGGGCCATGCACCACACTTTGGGTGTGTTGACTGCAGTCCCCAGGCAGAAGCGGGGAGATTCAGGACAGATTGCCCTCTCATGGCTGTGCTTTTCCTGGTCCTTCATGTTAGTTTAGGGGAAGTTTTGTCATACAAAATGACTCTCAGGAGCTCTGTCAGGACCCAAAAAATAAATAAATAAAACACAAACACAACCAAAACCCACTGCCTTCTCAAGAGGCCAAGATAGGATGAGGGGTCTGGTGCCATTGTTATCTTTGCCAGCATAGGCCAGACAGAAGGGCCATCGCTGGCCCTGGTCCCAGCCAGAGCCCTGTGACACTGCCTCCCATGGGTCCTGAATCTGAGGCACCTGGAAGGGTTATTAGCAGGATTGGAACTCATCCCTCTGCTGGGACTAGATCATAATTACAGTAATTTTCTAACAGAGCTCGGCAGTAGGACTGTTTAATCAGCATCTGACTCCCTCATGCTCCCAGCCCTCATCACTCAAGGAGAGGAGTGGGATGGCTCTTAAAGAGACAGTGCCCGCCTTTCAGCGTTTTGAACAGATGTGGCCTAATTGGTAGAATATATCTAAGTCTCATAGCTTATAGCAGGCAGGTTGCCTTGCCTCCCAACTGCTTGGGCTCCTCACTACTCCTAGCTCTGCTGAGGAAGAACGACTGGCTGCTGTGCTGGCTTCTATACCAGCACAGCCACCAGGGGAAGGGACATACACAGGGCTAGAGCACTTACGGAAGGAGCTGAACAAGCTAGCCCCCCCCTTTTTTTTTTTTTTTTTTTGAGACAGAGTCTCGCTTTGTTGTCCAGGCTAGAGTGAGTGCCATGGCATCAGCCTAGCTCACAGCAACCTCAAACTCCTGGGCTCAAGCAATCCTCCTGCCTCAGCTTCCCGAGTAGCTGGGACTACAGGCATGCACCACCATGCCCGGCTAATTTTTTCTATATATATTAGTTGGCCAATTAATTTCTTTCTATTTATAGTAGAGACAGGGTCTCGCTCTTACTCAGGCTGGTTTCGAACTCCTGACTTCAAGCGATCCGCCTGCCTCGGCCTCCCAGAGTGCTAGGATTAAAGGCGTGAGCCACTGCGCCCGGTCAAGCTAGCCCCTTCTTAACTGATGGTATGAAAGAAAAAGTGCTTGGCTGAAGGACAGGAAGGAGGGAGTTGACTGCCATGCATGAAAAAGAAATTTGGCCAGTGGCTTTCCACAATCCAGAGATTACAAAAGCATCTTGTGCTCCTGTCTTTCCAGTGGAAAAACCTTAAAGACTTTCCAGTAGTCTCTTAACTCTCACTTTGGCTTCACCACCTCTCTCTGCTTATTTTCTGTGCCCCTTTCACGATCATGAAAGTACCTTTGCCTTTCTTTTTCCTCCTCCTTTGCTTGTAGTAGACCAGATCTCCCCTGAACCAAAGGGAAATAAAATTATTCACTCTGCTTACTGAGTCAGGAGTACTGTTTCCTAAAAAGTGTGGCTCTTGTTAACCTTTTGAGCGTAACTTGTCTGTTATAACTTGTCTATTATATCTTGAGATTTGAGGTCTCCAGCTGCAAATCCAGTCATGGCTAAGGTGGAAATGTTTTTCCCTACAAGAGTTTCTCTAAGAAGATGCTGACTGCATCTACCACTCTGTTGGTAAGCCAAATGTACACTTGGTCTTTGTAGAGGTCCCCAAAACAGCTCTTTAGAGAGAAGAACTGGGGCAGGAAGTAGATGAGAGAGAAGAATGGATGAAGGCTTCAAAAGTGGGTTGAGGGGCCAGGCACAGTGGCTCACGTCTGTAATCCTAGCACTCTAGGAGGCTGAGGCAGGAGGATTGTTTGAGCTCAGGAGTTCAAGAGCAGCCTGAGCAAGAGCAAGACCCTGTCTCTACTAAAAATAGAAATAAATTAGCTGGACAACTAAATATGTAGGAAAAATTAGCCGGGCATGGTAGTGCATGCCTGTAATCCCAGCTACTCAGGAGGCTGGGGCAGAAGGACCTCTTGAGCTCAGGAGTTGAGGTTACTGTGAACTACACGTGACGTCACAGCACTCTAGCCTGGGCAACAAAGCAAGACTCTGTCTCAAAACAAAAAGTGGGTTGAGAAAACTTTCAGGAAAAAAGGTATAGTGGGTAAGGAGAAAAGGAAGGGGGACATTCATCGATAGTTCAAAGAAAAGTTACTCTGAGCCAGGCTATGTGCCTTCTACAGAACTGACTCCCTGCTGGCAGAAAGTCCCCTCCCACCCCTCCAGTTTAAGGATCTCAACCCCGGGCTTAACTAAGGAAGTGCTATCTCAAGCTATAGTGGTTATCTGCTTGGCTTCAGCTGTGTCTCTGCTGGCTGCTTATATATAAATCTACAGATGCCACTCTGGTCTCTGATTTAATCCTCCTGCAGCCTGTCAGGCAGACTGGGAGCTGATCCATTCCCGTTTCTACCCGCAACCCATCCTTGCATCCTTTGGGCCTACTGTCCACCCCACCCCTAGAGTGTTAAGAAAATTCAGCAAGAGGGGAGTTATACAAACAAATTCACAAACGCGAAGCTAACTTAATGCCCAGATTGTTACAGTCATAATGACCTCCAGCAAAGCTACTAGAGAGGGTAGAAGGTGCCTAGGACTCGGTGGTGTGGATCTAAGGCCTTAGTAGTCAGAAAACTTAAGACTGTGAATGAGCTTTGATTTCAGAGAACAACTCTGAAAAGCCCTACAGGGAGACTTTTTTCCTTGAATGTAGTGGTAAGTTTAATTTTTTTAAAGTTTGTGGGGGGAAAAAATATTGTCTTACAGAGCTTGGGAAGTACCTCTTACAGGAATATATTCTACTGACATCTAAAAACATGCTTTTTCAAAAACCACACTCAGCTCAGTTTCCTCAGCTAGAAAATGAGTGTAATACTTGCCCTACGCTCCTCACTGGGCACTGATTCAATTAAAATGATGCATATGACACTGTTTTTGTATTAATCACCCACTCCCAACATACACACTTCCTTCTACCAGATAAAACCCCCAGGAGCTTGGGATCAGTTATCCTGGGTAATAGGAAATGATGACTAGACTTGGGCCATGGAAGTAGCCATCAGAAGAGAGGTGACTAAATCAGGCACAGAATCTGACTCAAACCTAAATTCTAATTCTACAAAACAGTGGGCTACTCCTCCCAGCTAGCTCACCTTTCATACAGAGGTCATCCAGCCAGGATGGCTAAACCTGAACATACACGGGGACAGTGCAAAACATAAGAGGGGCATATGGCACTGCCTGGATGGAGAGGAAGGCCCATCTTTGCTGTTTTTCTGGTAACCTGAGGCCCATATTATTAGGAAAGCTCTTCCTTTCTTAGGACATCTCCTTCCACGGCTTATACTCAACTCAGTGCGAGACTGATAGGAGATGGTGCCTAGCCTTAGATTAACTGAGGTGCTGTTGTATGCACTGCTGCTAATGGATCATTAAGAAAGCTGGGAATCAGAAAAATCACATCCATGTCTTTGAATGGCTCCTGCTGTCCCAGCAGCCTAGCCTGCTGGCAGAACTAGCTGCTGAGCACCAACTCCAGGAAGAAAAGGAGCAAACAGAAGAAGGCCAACCCAGCTTGCTGTTTTTTTGGCTGAGTAGGGAATTGACACAGACCACCTCCGGCTCTGTCTGGAAGTTTGGAGATCAGAGAGCTTCAGGCACAGCTGGGTTCACAGCTGCACCATTTGGAGCATTGGACTCATTAATATTCATGAGCCATCCCCACCAATCGGCAGAGCGGATGCCATTAGCTTAGCATCTGTCGGGTTTTGTGAGGGTTGTGTATGGACTTTTTTCCCCTTTTAAATGAACTTCTTTTGACATTTTGGATTTGCCTCTGTAGGTTTTCTATCCTCGCCTTGCTCTGCTGCATCATATAAAGGAGAGACCCAAGGGAGGCGGGCAGGAAAAAGGGATGAATACCAGCCAGGGCTTTGCATCTGCCAGTTGACAAACTTTATTTCTCTTTCAGCACCTGGCACCTCAGACAGGCTTCGAGCACGGAAGCAGCATCAGGTAAATTATACTAACAAGGTTCATGCCCAGAACTGTGAGAAGAGCTGGATTCCGGCTCTTTGGAAGGCAATCCTTCCTCCAGTGGTGAACTTGAGCTGCGCACACAATGCAGGAGAGCTGCAGTGCACAGTTCTGAACCATTATTTCCACGCTGATAAATTCATGATTTATGAAAGTACTGCCAGCCCTTACTCCCTCCTTCTCTGCTACACCTTGTTAGACACAAATTGCAACAACAGTCTTAAATACTTGCATTTTATTTCAGGCCAAAGCCCCTCAACTCTGAACTAAATGCCATGACAGTCCCACAGCATAGGCTGGTAGTAAAAGAGCCCACAGACAGGGTAGGATGGCCATAGGAAGGTGGAGTGGGTGAGAGAAGAACCTAAGAGCAGAGTAATACAGAATGCCTGCGGCACTCCGCTCCACCAGCTCTGGCTCTCAGTGAAGAGGAATAATGGCAGCAGGAGGGCAGAATGCCTCATTGTCTGAAGGAGGGCTTGTTGTTCCTCATCTCCATCCCCAGAGCCCTCTCTTCTAGGCAGAAACAAAGCCCTTGAGCCCTACTGGACTGAACAGACGGCCCCCCTGCAATACAGCCCAGGGACACTGGCGGCTGAAACCCTGGGGGCAGGGAACTGTTACTAAAAGAGAAGAAAAGGACTCAAAAATGAAAGGAGCCCACTCTAAGCCTGCAGAAAAGATAGCCATGTCGCTGCTTTATAACTAGAAGAGACTGTGTCAGCCCGGACAGCCTTTCCAAAACAAAGGCCCCCGAGTTGTTGCCTCTCCCTTGGGCTGTGGCCAACTACTCCTTTCTCATGGATGGCCATGAGCTGTTACATGGGTCTCAGGCCCCACTCAGCCAGGCTGAGGTCTTGGGAGAGGCCAGAAACCCCAGCGGCAGAAGTCACAGCACCAGTTCCATTCAGTGGTATCAGTGGAGGAAAAGCAAGGAGGTGGAAGAGTAAATATTCACTGTCCTGTCCATGCAAGGAGGTAGGCAAGAGGCCAGCCTCCCAGAAACAAAGTGCTTTAGGGGCTACGGTTAAAACAGGAGCCAGGCAAAATGAGAATACAACTACATAAACATTCCTGTTGGGACAATATTCAATACAGCAGCTTAGAATCTGCCACTTACAGGTCCCCAAAACCAGTCACCTGAGGTGCTCCTGGGCCTATAAACAAATCATCTGAAGAAATTCAGTTCCCAGGAGAGTAAATATGAGTTTCTGTTCAAAATCAACAGCCCCTGGGCCTTATGCTTAACTGACAAACATCTGCACAGTGTTTATTCTTATGGAGGAGGCACGAGGGGCTATCATGATCAACCTCTGTGCAGCCAACCTGAGCAAAGGCGACTGTAAAACACAGCCCAGCCTCCCCCTACACCTGCCCTGTGCCCAGTCCCACCTGGGTAAGTCTCCTGGCCTGCTTCTTCTCTGTCTGCATTGGAGCAGAACTCAGAGCTCACTTCTCCAAAACTGTTTCTAACTGACCAGGGTCCAAAGGCACAGCATGGTCCCCTCCTGTGGCCCTCCTCACAGACAGAGGAGTGGAGCTTCCCTCATCAGGTCTTGCAAAATCACAGCACGATGGTAAAGAGAGGGTTGGGAGAGTAGGACTTTCCAAGGAAGGAACCTCAGAGTCAACAACTGGAGCCCACACTTCTAAATGGTCATTTGCTTCACTGGGTGGTGGTGAGGGAGAGCTCCTCCTACTGGATCTTGGAAGAAAGCAGCAACTGGAAAAGAGTGGGAAGGGAAAAGAAGGGCATGAACAGATAAACAAAAATGAACAAATGCAAGTGAACGGATAAACAAAATGTTGTTATATAGCCATACAAATGGAATATTATTTGGCCATAAAAAGAAATGAAGTATTGATGCATGCTACAACATAGATGAACCTTGAAAACATCAGGCTAAGTGAAAGAAACCAGTTACAAAAGACCACATACAATATGACTCCATTTGTGTGAAATGTCCATAACAGGCAAATCCATAGGCACAGAATATACCGATAGTTGCCAGTGGTTTGCCGGGGAGGGGAGCAGTGTGGAGGGTAGGAGGGAAGGTGGAGTCACTATTCATGGATACAGTGTTTCTTCTGGGGTGATGAGAATGTTCTAAAATTAACTGTCGGCTGGGCGTGGTGGCTCACGCCTATAATCCTAGCACTCTGGGAGGCCAAGGCAGGTGGATCGCTCAAGGTCAGGAGTTCAAAACCAGCCTGAGCAAGAATGAGACCCCATCTCTACTATAAATAGAAAGAAATTAATTGGCCAACTAATATATATATAGAAAAAATTAGCCAGGCATGGTGGTGCAAGCCTGTAGTCCCAGCAAATCGGGAGGCTGAGGCAGGAGGATCACTTGAGCCCAGGAGTTTGAGGTTGCTGTGAGCTAGGCTGACGCCATGGCACTCACTCTAGCCAGGGCAACAAAGCGAGACTCTGTCTCAAAAAAAAAAAAAAAAGATAAAATTAACTGTGGTGACTGATAGTTATACAATTCTGTGCATATACTAAATGTGAATATACTAAAAACTATTGAACTGTACACTAAAAAGGTAAATGTTATGGCAAGTGAATTATATGTCAATAAAGCTATTATTTTAAATGGGGGTGGGTGAAGGGAGGAATAAAGAACAGGACAAATAAAACTCTCCTCTTCTTTCAATAGAAGGTTTTAATAGGAGCCCTGCTACTCAGTGGTGGACTAACACAGACCCACCTGCAATAGAGAACCATACACACAGAGAACAAGGCCTTTCTGAAAGGCTATTAATGCTGTGATATTACTTTCCCTAACAAATGGAGACCTCCTGGCCCAGGTTATAGCAATCCTAGCCCCTGTGTTTCAAAAAAGTGCTTCAGTTACCTCTTAGGCTGGTCTCCTTTAGCCAGATGAGAAGAGCTCTGCCTCTCTTCCTGGGCCCAGCCACAGTTTGACATAGCATAGTGAAGAATGGCATCAGAAACAGTCATGGAGCTTCGGCCCTGGACACAGGCCTCTATCTCGGGCACCGAGAGCTGGCTTTGCAAGAAGAGGTGCAACTGGCTGTCTGACAGGAGAACCACGCTCTGCAGGACCCTGGGGCAAACACAGGTAGCACAACACAGAGCATCACCTTGAGGATTTGCTCTTCATCCCCATCCTTTCAAGGGCTTCTGGCTTGAGGGAGCACTGAAGGCATGAGGATGCAAGAAAGGCACCTACCACTAATGTGCCTCCCTGAGCAGGGAGCCCCAACCTGCCTGGCACCTTCCCCTACCCTTGTCTTCACCCCCAGCGGACAGTGCTAGCCCGGCATGTCCACTCACTTTTCAAGGAAGTGCTGCAAACCTTGTCGTCGCTTCTCAATGAACTCATCTGAGCTGCCAAAGAAGGTTGACTTCCCAGGAAGTTCAGGTACAGGCCTGTGGAGTCATACAATGTAACATCCAAAATATGTGTCACATCTAAGACAGTCATTCTAGCCCCTAATCAAAAAAATCCCCTGAAAAGAGGCCCAATCAATACAATTAGCTTTAAATAAGGGGCACGCTAACACTAACTAATTGCATATATGGGTCAGGCACTGTGCTAAATGTTTTACAAACATTATTTCATTTAATCCTCCCAAAAACCCCATGGGAAGGTATCAGTGTCCTCATTTTAGATCAGAGGTGAAGTAAATTTCCCACTGTCACGTAGCTAGTAAGCAGCAAAGCTAGCATTTGAACCAAGTTTATTACTCCAAAATCCATGCAGATATACTATATTGTTTATAAAGCCCACTCCCACCATCAACTATTATTTTAAAAAAGAAATTTAGATGTGGGGAACGCTGGGTCCTTGTGTGTAAATTAAGACTATCTATTCCAATCCCAGGACACATGCTTAGAATCTGCTAAAAGTGGTTGAGCTATAGCCAAATCATCCATTTTTTATTTTTTTATTTTAAGAGACAGGGTCACACTATGTTGCCCAGGCTAGAGTACAGTGGCTATTCACAGAAGTGATCATTGTGTAGTACAGCCTTCAACTCCTGGGCTCAAGTGATCCTCCTGCCTCAGCCTCTCAAGTAGCTGGGACTATAGGTGCACGCCACCACACCCAGCCAACCAACTCTTTAAACCTCCCTAGCCTCTCTTAAGCACAGCACATTTTTAAAAAACAACAGGCCAGGATGAAGGATGCTGGATCTGTCAGAAGAACTGAGGGAGTTTCGCCTGGCTTATTGCCTGTGCCACGACAATAACCTCCTCAGTCCCCCAGGTTAACTAACTGGCTCAGTCACTCAACAGGCCACCTATCACCACTAGAGCATTCAGTGACTATCCTATAGGAGAATTACTGTTCTAATTCTCTCTACTTTTAGGACTTAGTTGGAGGGTATGGGTGAGAAGTGAACAATAACTGCCTTTCCTAAGGCTCTCATATGTCTCTGGAAAAGGAGCTCTGTACTAAAGAGGGAAAAGCCGGGCATGGTGGCGAATGCCTGTAGTCCCAGCTACTCGGGAGGCTGAGGCAGGAGGATTGCTTGAGCCAGGAGTTTGAGGTTGCTATGAGCTAGGCTGACGCCATGGCACTCACTCTAGCCTGGGCAACAAAGGGAGACTCTGTCTCAAAAAAAAAAATAAATAAAGAGGGGGAAAAAAAAATCACAATTTTTACATGTCAAGTAGACAGGAACACTACCTGTCAAATAAATCCAAATGCTTAAAATGTTCTGATAACCAATGATAAGCACATTTAAAATGCTACCAGTATATCCAGTATATCTACTGAGCCCTAGACCAATATGCATATAAAAAAGAAAAATATTTTTGATGTTTTTATGGTTTTGTTAAGTCTAAATACCAGAAATGAGAACTCTATTTTTACTTTTTTTCACTTATTTGAAAACATGATTTAAGAATATATTTCAAAAAAAAAAAAAAGAATATATTTCACAACTTCCTTAGTGCTTGGCATATTGCAAGTTCTCTTCATTGTCAATTCCAGTTATCAAGTAAGCACTTAAAAAGCCAGTCTCAGGCCGGGCGTGCTGGCTCACGCCTGTAATCCTAGCACTTTGGGAGGCCGAGGCGGGAGGATTGCTCAAGGTCAGGAGTTCGAAACCAGCCTGAGCGAGACCCCGTCTCTACCAAAAATAGAAATAAATTAATTGACCAACTAAAAATATATATACAAAAAATTAGCCGGGCATGGTGGCGCATGCCTGTAGTCCTAGGTACTCGGGAGGCTGAGGCAGTAGGATCGCTGAGCCCCGGAGATTGAGGTTGCTATGAGCCAGGCTGACGCCACGGCACTCACTCCAGCCTGGGCAACAAAGTGAGACTGTCTTAAAAAAAAAAAAAAAAAAAGCCAGTCTCAGACCTGAGAAGGAAGAGCAAACTCACACCAAACCAGCGTTTCTCTGTAACTGCTTTCTCAGCCACACGAACTCACGGTAGCGACGCCGAACACAGGAAGTCTTGGCAGTAAAGGCCTTGCTGTTGGTCTATAGGAGGAAGTACATAAAAAGGGTTTAGTGGGAAAAGATCAAGTTCACATGAGCTCCCCCTCATCACTCTCACTGGTGAACCAGGTCACAGTCCTGATCAGGGCCCCCAACCACAGCAAGCTTGAAAGCAACTCACAAGCACACCTCAAGCTCTCTTTCCTCTCCTCCCTCCTTTTCTTCTAAGTCTTCTGTCTTGGGCCCGCTGGAAACACCCACAAAGCACAAGCCCTCAGTCCTGGGGAGTGTTGACCCCAATACAGAAGCCTGATGCACTCACATGGAGGAATATTTTATAATCCACATAAGAATTCCAAGAGCCCTCATTCTGCACTCGGGGGTCCTGAACTCGCACCGTGATCACCTCCTGTAGGTAAGAAATGCTTCTTCAGCTTCAGCTCAGCCACACACATAGCAAGGCAGCTTTGACAATACAGGTTGCCCAATTTTTCCACTCAGCACCAACTTTCATCATTTGTCCATTCATTCAATTCAACAAATATTTATTGAGCCCACACTATGTGTCAGGTACTGTTCTAGGCACTGGAGATTAAACATGAGTAAGAGACAAATATCCTTGCCCTCGTGAAGCTTACATTCCAGTATATTCCAACCAATGAAAATGCTAGTCATAATGGAACCTCATTTCCCAGGAATGCCTTTGCTGTTAATTTCCTTCTCATGGCTTTATTTTAAGTATTACGTAAGGTATTACTATAAGAAGAACACTATTGAGCAATAATTTGTATCTCTGCATCTTCCCATCTCATAAATACTCTCTCCAATTTTTACCCACCTATTTCCTGGAGACCACATTCTTACCTCCTGTTCTTGGTTCTCCGACATCCTACACCAAAAGCCCATTGGAAGAAAACATCTGGTGAGTGACAGAGGACATAGCAAAAATTATGGTTAGTATGCCTCTATTCTCACACCTGTAAACCCAACACTTTGAGAGGCCAAGGAGGGAGAATCACTTGAGGCCAAGAGTTTGAGAGCAGCCTGGGCAACATAGCAAGACTCTGACTCTACTAAAAATAAAATTAACCAGGTATAGTGGCATATGCCTGTAGTCCCAGCTACTTGGGAGGCTGAGGCAGGAGGATCGCTTGAGCCCAGGAGTTCAAGGCTGCAGTGAACTATGATCATGCCACTGTACTCTGGCTTGTATGAAAGAGTGAGACCCCACATTAGCTCAGTGCCAGACTAAAAGCCCTGGAGGATTTGCCTCCCTTCTCAGACCACTGCCAGGACCCTCAACTAGGTCACCTCTACCCAAAGCATGTTAGGGTCTGCAGAGAGTTGTCTCAGGAAGCCAGAACAGGAAGGTTCAGTTATAAAACTCTTGCCTTTGAGGACTGCAAACATAGCAGTGTCTGGAGGGCACTCAGATCACAGCTTTGAAAATGGGCCTAACAGTGCCCCCTCCTGGCTGTTTAGAGACAACCAAGTCCCCACCAACAAACACAGTGCTCCTGTGTCTTTCTCTCTTGCTAACAACCAGTCACCTTCCCAAGGTGAATCATAGAGCTGGAGAACTCCAGGGAGCACCTGAATGAGTAGCCCAGTTGGGACCTTCCCTTATCCAATGCATTCTCTGGAACCTGAGCCAATAGTTCTTAATCATTTCCTCTCTTGACATGCCATCCGGTTTGTACCTCTGCCCAAGCACCCCACAGCTGCACAGGTTGACTCAGGATGCATTCTGCTCCTTTGTAAAGATTCATTAAAGCCTCAACCCCTGATTCCCCCCCACCCTCGTGTGGCAGTTTACATGTATAGCAACATCGCCCACTCCAACAAGGGGACCATGAAGGCTGAAGCACAGGGTTACTCAAGTCCAAAGGGGCCCATGATGTCACCTTCTGTTAAAATACAACACTAATCTTGTTACTTCTAGAACTACTCCAATAGCATCCACCATGGCTGCCGCCTACACCCCTTTCCCCTCTCTTAAGAGCGAAACAATAAGGTTTAATTTCCCTTTCCAATTTACCTTGAAATGAAAACTGACTTCAGCCAATATGTACTGCCAACAAATGATCCAGGCTGGCTCCTGGGAAAACAAGACTATCTCTAAGCTCTCCTTCTCCTCCCCCCATGCCTATTCACATACCCGTTCATTTTTACAGTCCCACAATTAATTTTAAATACATTCTCTTATTAGTTCTGCCTTACCATTAGAAGAGTGTGTAATGAGTTTCCTTCTATTTTATGTTTTGCTAACACAAGGCTAACGTTTCAAAAGAAGGGGAACTCATTTACACAATGAAATTAGCAGAGCAAACAGCTTTTCCAATTCTTTCCAATATACCAGAAGGTCTCTCCACAGACAGACACTGCATGCAGAGACAAAGCTACATGGTCTATGACAAAATTGGGTTACACTGTTGAGCAAACCCAAGGTTTTGTGATTTCAATACCATCCTAAACAGTGTTCTTGCTGACAATCTGATTTTTCATCTGATGCAGTCACTAAATCCGAGGGGTCTTGAACTGAAAGGTAGAAAATTCCAATTCCATAACAACCCATGTATAACATTCCACATGTAAGCAGTCAAATGCCTGTGACCAAAAAGAGCAGAACAACTTGCTGTGAACAATTAATCTCCTTGGATTAAAAAACATTTTTTTCTCTTCTCTTTTCAGGCATATGGTAAATTGCCAGCAAAGGAAAGGGTTAAATAATCCAAAGTGTCCTTTCACAAAAGTAACAATAGGAAAGATGATGACAAGGAAATCATGGTCCTCCACACTGAGTGGACCTCACACTCGCCTGTATCTTGAAAGGTTTGCCAAATTCAAGACCATAATTCAGTAACTAAATGATCATCATACCCTTGGTCTCTAGAAGAGTTTGTATAGGGCCCTGCACTACCTCCATGAGGAAGTTCTCTCCTTTGGGGCCAGTACCACTTAGAAACAAATAAACTGGCTTAAAAAAAAAAACTGTATAAAAAACTATAAACTGGCTTAAAAAAAACCCAAGACGGGTGTGGGGGGGGCGGTGGCTCACGCCTGTAATTCTAGCACTCTGGGAGGCCAAGGCGGGAGGATCTCTCAAGGTCAGGAGTTCGAGAGCAGCCTGAACAAGAGCGAGACCACATCTCTACTAAAAAAAGAAAGAAATTAATTGGCCAACTGAAAATATATATAAAAAATTAGCCGGGCATGGTGGCGCACGCCTGTAGTCCCAGCTGCTAGGGAGGCTGAGGCAGAAGGATCACCTGAGCCCAGGAGTTTGAGGTTGCTGTGAGCTAGGCTGATGCCATGGCACTCTAGTCCGGGCAACAAAGTGAGACTCCGTCTCAAAAAAACAAGAAAACAAGACCTCCAAAATGCTATATACTTAAGTCTAAGTTTAAAGGACACCAAGAGAAAGTTTCAGTTGTAACTTTCCATAAAAACAATGGAACAAGTACAATAACCTACATTCCAAGTAATCACTTCTAGCAACCACTACTCTCAATGGGCTTCCTCCACAGAACATGAAGCTCAGTTCTGCCTTTGGAGGAGAAGCAAGAAGTTCTTAATTTCAACTCTATGATCTGGGAGGTAGGTCTGTGTGTCATCCAAATAATGATAGAATCAGTGACCCTCTCAGCTAGTTATGCAACTTACTCAGTGCTAACTACATTTCCTGGGCCCTTTTCTTTTCTTTTCGAGACAGAGTCTCACTTTGTTGTCCAGGCTAGAGTGAGTGCCGTGGCATCAGCCTAGCTCACAGCAACCTCAAACTCCTGGGCTCAAGGGATCTTCCTGCCTCAGCCTCCAGAGTAGCCGGGCATGTGCCACCATGCTCGGCTAATTTTTTTTTCTATATATATTAGTTGGCCAATTAATTTCTTTCTATTTATAGTAGAGAAAGGGTCTCGCTCTTGCTCAGGCTGGTTTCGAACTCCTGACCTTGAGCGATCTGCCTGCCTTGGCCTCCCAAAGTGCTAGGATTACCAGCGTGAGCCACCATGCCCTGTCCCTGGGCCCTTTTCAATCACATCTGAAGTTTCCTTTACTTACTCCACCTCTACCAGCACCAACAGCTCTGGTAAGACCCCGGTGGTTTGCAGTTTACAATGAAGATTCATCGTAAAGCTTTCCAATGTCTTAACAATTCAAGGTAGCAATTCGAGGCTTTAGCCTATTTGCTCTCCCATTTAAACTACTTCAAGAGACAGGTTAAAAAAATAAATCAGGCTGGGCGCGGTGGCTCACGCCTGTAATCCTAGCTCTCTGGGAGGCCGAGGCGGGTGGATTGCTCGAGGTCAGGAGTTTGAAACCAGCCTGAGCAAGAGCGAGACCCCGTCTCTACTATAAATAGAAAGAAACTAATTGGCCAACTAATATATATAGAAAAAATTAGCCGGGCATGGTGGCTCATGCCTGTAGTCCCAGCTACTTGGGAGGCTGAGACAGAAGGATCGCTTGAGCCCAGGAGTTTGAGGTTGCTGTGAGCTAGGCTGACGCCATGGCACTCACTCTAGCCTAGGCAACAAAGCGAAACTCTGTCTCAAAAAATAAATAAATAAATAAATAAATCGTGTAATAAAAGCAGACTGAGCCGAGACTCCTGGCCTTCTTATTCATTCTTGAGCCCTTGGTGCCAGATGGTAGATGGCAACTCAAAAAGCCCTCCTTCCTAAATACTCACAGGTGCTAAAGGAAGCTCCCCTGTCTGACTAAGCTGTATGATCTTAACCTGTTATATTCCATCTTTTCGTCCATCTGAAACCTGCTCCTCCTTCCACTTGGAATGTAAGTAACAAAAGCAACCACAATCTAGCGCATGTCTCCTGTGTCCGCATAAAATACTTGCCATTGTCCCCTAGTCTCAGTCGTGTGGGTACATGTGCCCAGATTTTCACTATGGCCACTCCCCCTCCATTCTTAACGAACTAGGAGCAAAAAGGCCACATACTCCTGTTTCTTTCCCGGTTAAGCTTGAGAAGTAGGAAAGAAAGATACCTTATATTTTCAAAGTAAAAGGGAAAAGCTAGGTTTCCCTTTTTGGATCCCAAAGCTCCCGCCTTCATCCCGGATGGTGAGACAGCCCCTTCCCCAGAATGTAAAGCGAGACCACCATCCCAAGTACCACTACTGACTCTCAAGCCCGCTCCTCCTCACCTGGGAGCAGCACCCACTGCCTGGGGCCCCGCCCACGACCCCTCACCTGAGAGCAGCACCAGCTCCCCACAGCAACACCGCCCGCGCCCCACCATATAGCCAGAATCCCGGCTTCTCCTTCCGGGTGAGTCGCCGGTGCCCCGGTGCATTATGGGAGATGGCTCCCGACACGCAAATCCCGGGTGCCCGCGACGCCCCACCCCTGTAGGTCCCGGCTCTCAGTGGCGGTTCCCGCCCCAGCCGCAGGCTGGAGTCCGGATTCCCCCTCCTCAACTCACTTGGGGCGCTGGAAGGTGGATGCGGGTGCTGTGTAAGGAGTGGCAAATGGGTTCCGACGTCCAATCCAGGGCCGCGTCCCGCCCACCATCGTGAGGTGCAGCCAATCAGAGCCCAGGGAGCACCATTAAAGGTCTGCAGTCTGCCCTGGGAGCAGAGAGGTTTGAGGTTGTCAGTATCGTTCCCTTTCTCAGAAAGCCACCGGCTGTCGAAGTTAAGGGGTGGGGGAACGCCCATATTCCTGGAGCCTAAGTCCCGAGAAAGCCCGCATTTGAACCCCGTAGGTTGCCGTTCCCCAGAGGAGCTATCAAGGAGACTCCAACTTAGATTCATAAAGCCGTAAATTGATTATCAGAGCGAAAACCGGACTCCAGAGGTTCCAGCAACTCGAATTGCACTCGCCAAAACAAATCCAAAGAAGGATCATGCAACTAGTCTGTAAGCAAAAGAAAGCCGTTGAATATGTTGAGGACCTTTTTGGCGTTGTTGAAATGTCTCTTAACAACTTGTTTAAAGATAATTTTAGCAAAGATATTATCAAGGAAAAAGTTATGGTCACAGATACAAGCCCTGGAGTTAGACGACCTGAACACAATGCCCATCACTACACAGACTGTGTGGCCTTGAACTGGTTCTAAATCTTTGTAGGACCAGTAAAAAGTACAATGGTAGTTTCCTTATATGTAAGGTGGAGATTATTGCACAAGACCTCAAAGCAGCATTTCTCAAACATTTTGGTCTCAGAATTTGTTTACACAAACTCTCAAAAAACATTAAGAACCCCAAGGAGCTTTTGTTTATGTGGGATATTCACCACATTAGAAATTAAAATGAGAAATTCAAAAATACGTATTAATTTGGCCGGGCGCTGTGGCTCACGCCTGTAATCCTAGCTCAGATCAAAATAGACTCTGTCTCAAAAAAAAAACCAAAAAAACCCCACACACAAAAAACACATAATGGTTTATTATTATTATCTTAAATGAATTAATACGTATTTTTTTTTTTTTTTGAGAAGAGACACTTTGTTGCCCAGGCTAGAGTGAGTGCCATGGCGTCAGCCAGCTCAAGCAACCTCAAACTCCTGGGCTCGAGTGACCTTCTGCCTCAGCTCCTCCGGGCAGCTGGACTACAGGCATGCGCCACATGCCCTATTTTATATATAATACAGCGTTGGCCAAATTAATTTCTTCTATTATAGAGTAAAGACGGGTCTCGCTCGTTGCTCAGGCTGGTGTGAACTCCTGACTGAGCAACCGCCCGCCTCGGCTCCAAGAGCA